TCACAGCTAAGGTAGAAAAGCACCTCCTCCTGTGCCACGTTTTCTGGGTTCCAAGGGTCTGGAAAGTGGTTCCATAGCCAATTACACGGTTGCCAACTCTGGGTTGGGAAATACCTGTAGATTTGAGGGGTAGAGCCTGGGGAGGGCAGGATTTTGGGTGGGGAGGGACCTCAGCAGGGAATAATGCCATAGAATCTACTGACCAAAGTAGCCATTGTCTCCAAGAGAACTGACCTGGGACATCTGGACATCAGTTTTAATAGCTGAAGCCCTGACTGCTACGTCACATTGGCTGTCATACAGGGGCCATCTCAGTAGGATATAAGGACACAGAGTCCACCATTTTCTCCAGGGGAACTGATCTCTGCCATCTGGAAAGCAGTTGTAATTCTGAGTGATCTTCAGCCCTCACCTGGAGATTTGCAACCATGGTTTCCCCCAACAGACACTAAGGGGAAATTTATTTTACCTCAGAACATCAACAGAAAACTGTTTAGAATGTTAGAGGGAAAGGCCAGTGAGGCCGCATATGCAAACGACCTCTGTTTTGAGGCAAAGGCGAATCAGGCCACATATGCAAATGACCTCTGTGTTCTGACTGGCTGTGGGGGGGAGAGGAAGAGCAAACTGTTTAGAATGTTGGAGGCAGGACTCAGGCAAAGCAGCCAGTGGATAGGGAGACCCTCTGAATGACAGGGCAGAGAGTGAATTTTGGAGCTTTGCGTCAATCACACAGTGACCCCTAAGTGCCACAGGCTCATGGTTGGTCATTCACATTGCTAATGCACCACAACCACAGACCCGCGGCTGAGTTGGGTTTTTTTCCCTAAGTCCCACTGTGCATGTGCAGAAGCAGACAAGCGTATATGTGCTCCTGGCCATGTTCTATGGGGTGCTGAAGTGCACGTCAAAGTGGGGTTAAAAAAAGGACATGCCAAATAGTGTTCAACGGTGCTTTGATTGTGATCTGTCCAAAAAGATTGTACCAAACCTGATTTATGAAAGATTTCAGCAAAGCAAGGGAAAGCAGAGAAACATGTTGATGTCATATGGAGGCTCCTAAAAACAGAACACTTCTAAGGAAACCAAGGCACAGCAAAACATCCAGGGCTATTTTTGGGCAGGAACGCACAGGAATGGAGTTCCGGCTGGCCCCTGAGCTGGCCACACCCAGCAGGAACTCATTAGCATAATAGGCCACACCTAACAGCAGAAACTCATTAGGATTGGCTACATTAGGGGTGTGTGGCCTAACATGCAAAGAAGTTCCTGCTACAGAATAAGAAGCAAAAGGTGGGTGT